TGTTCATGCCTGTATCCCCAGTAGGATGCAAGGTGGGTCTGGGGGGGGACTGTGTAGGGCTGAGACAGGAGGATTGCTGGAGCTTGCTGGCTGCCAGCATATCCAAAAAACATATCAGCTCCTCAAAACAAATGCACAGAACAAGAATTGCCCTTATAGAATTTCCAACATCTGGATCTTCCTCAGGTCCACTCACTCACTCCTTCCTCACAAAGGACCAACAAGTGGGTTCAGGGAACTGAGCGCCCTCCACTCCAGCACCCAAGTTCACCCTTGCTCACATCTATGGTCAGATTTCTGTCTTCTGCATTTCCCATGCTTTTTTCCACACCTGTAACCCTGACAGGACCCGACCCCAGCTGGACCAAAACATGACAGATGTAAAATGATGAAAATGCAGAGAAGTATGCAATGGCTACTACTATGGGTCTGAAGTTATTGGGATAAAGGGACCTATCTTCTCTGTGTAGCCTTTGCTTTGTAGACCAGGCTGGCCTCGAACTCACAGAGATCTCCCCCCCCCACCCACACCCACCCCACCCCCACCCCGCCTCTGCTTCTCCGAGTCCTGGGATTGCAGGTGTGCACCACAGCACCCAGCTGGAGAGAACTATCTCAGTGCCCTTTCAACTCTTTCAAACATACCAAATCTCTATTCCTGAGTGATTTGACAAGAAGTCCAGTGTCTACGGCGGAGTAGGAGAGCATGGAGTTTTCCTCCGTTTTCTTCCCCTCCACCTTGTCCCTCAGCAAAGCAGGCACAGACCGTGCGACATCACAGCACATGGGCGGTGAACTGGGACACTCACCTTGGCATCCTGCACACCTCCTTCCACCAGGCGGATTCTCAGGCCTTCGGGTGACACCAGCAGACAGCCCTGATTCTGTGGTGTTTTCCCAGGGGGTACTAATGCCTTTGAACTGGGTGGGAAATCTATGTGGAAAAGAGTGTCTCTATACGTGGTTTTCACGGCTTCCACAAAGGCCTCTGCAACCTTTGCAGACAGGCCCACCAGATAAATCTTTTTCAAGGTGTGTCCGTCTTGCTTGCGTAGGACGTTTTCCTTGATGGCTGAAACAATGGTTGCCACACACTGGTCTAAGGGGAAGCCAAAGATCCCAGCGCTGATAGCTGGTATGGCTATGGATTGGCACTTGTACTTTTCGGCTAAAGTGAGACTTTGATGCACAGCTTTCTTTAACAGGCTCACACACGCCACAACCTTATCCCTTTCCCACCGAGGCCCTACCGCGTGGATGACATGATGGCAAGGGAGCTTGCCTGCTTTCGAGATGATCGCATTGCCAGGGAATATCAGGCCGCCTTGTTTCACTATCTGGTTACATGCTGCTTGAAGTTCAGGGCCAGCCGCTTTCGCCAGGGAGCCTGCCAGACCGCTGATGTGCTGCAGGTTCTCATTGGCCGCGTTCACCACCACATCGACAGGAAACAGGGCCAGGTCTCCCTGCTGTACGACCAGCGTGACTCCAGGGGCTATGTCCCTCTGTAAGAGGCACTTCTGCTCCTTACTGCCGCCTCCCCCCTTCTCGCCACCCTCCTGGAGCTCAATGATGCATCCGTACTGGCGCCTCATCTCCATTCTGTAATACGATTCTTTATCCTGGAAGAAGTGCCTGGCACCGGCTTTGTCAGTCTGGAATTGTTTGACACAGACGGAATCCCGGATTTCCTTGACTGTGTTCACGCACTCTAGAACGTTCTTCTTGGAGCCGGTTAGCAAAATGCTGTTTGGGTTGTCTTTAGGTTGGAAATTCACCTGCACGTTTGTCTTTTTTGTCTTCGACAGCAGCCTCCTGTCCATCTTTAAATAGTCAATTATCAAGGACGGTTCTAGCTCAACCAGTCTTTCCACTTTCGTGTTGTTTTCCAAGAACTCGAAGAGCTGGCTGTGGATTTCATTTACTTGCTTCACACAGCCCGCAACAATGACCTCAGCGACGGTCCCTGAGGTTAATTCATTCTTTACCGCGATGGTTGCGGAGGAGCTGTGTCTCTTTTGCAGAGATTGAACTTTCTTTTTCCACGCATTGCCTTTAAGAACTTCCTTGTCCTCAACCTCTATGTGCTTATGACTTAAAGCACCGAGCATCTTCTTCTCAGCTTCTGCCAGGACTTGGGAAGACCAACCGGTTAAGAGAACGGATGTGCCTTTCAGCTCGTACGTGGCAAGGTTGGTCTGTGCCTCGAAAAGGGTCTTGGAGAGTTCCCGGCTGTCTGCTTGCTGCAGAAACATGAAGACTTCAGAAGAAACCAAGATGTCTTTCTGAGCCATGACGTACACCTTTTCCTGGATGTCACACTTCACTTTGTAGACGTCTGCTGGGAGCCCCTTAAGGCACAGGTGCTGGGCGGTGGTGTCGTAAGAGATCTCCATCTCCGGGTAGCCTTGCTTTAGCTCCCTCAGGAAACCGCTGTGCTGCAAGAGAAAATACTTTCCCGGAGGGATGGTCATGGTCTCCTTCAGACTCTGCTCTTCCCTTCTGAGCTTTTCGGTGGTGCTGTCTATCAATTCCTTGATTCGCTGGCTAATGTCTTGGACATCTTCTGACTTTCCCGCTATGGTGAGACTCTCCTTCTCAAACTCAATCAAAACTCTGTCATCTCTTAACTCATGCTTGATGATGTCCCACACTGGCAAACACACCTCAAACAGCTTAACTTCGTATCTAGACCTGATGCCGGAGAGCGCAGCGGATGCATCATTCTTCCAGGTCTTAATGCTTGGTCTGTGACTGGCTAAGGTGGCCGCTGGTCTGACGGTCAGTTTGCCATTGGTTTCAGACCACACTAGCTCACAGTGACAGCGTCTCATTTCCTCATTTATCTCCTCGATCAGGTGATTGTGTTTTTGAAAGAACTTCAACAGAGGAAGACCCAAAGACTCTTGGAAAGATGCTGGAAGCTTCACCAGGGGCTTCTCCTCGCCGTACAAGGCTGTGCCCAGAGAGACATAATAAGGGAAGACAGACAGCGGCATCTTGTTGTAGCTGTGTTTCTTGGCCAAAATGGTGTCTAACACTTTAAAAGCAAAATAAAGGAATGAATGAGTGAATGAATGAATAAATAAATAAATAAAGGTGATGCCGATGTCACACATTTCAAAAGAGTACAAAACAAAACAAGCTTTTCTAGAGGACAAAAATTCTCTAGTGTTTGTACAAGTTCAAGGGAGCATCCTCCCACATGGTCACATAGAAGCAGATAGGCAGTACCTTCACAAGGCACACTTCATCTAATGCAATCATTACTTTGTATTCTCATCCTCCATATATAAACTGATACATAGTAACTCACAGGGCAAACTTTAGCCGAGGCAATAATTGCTTTCTCTACTCTACACTGAAGTCTTGTTTGATTCTATCATCCTTCTGAGGTTACTGATGTACAGACACAAACGTGGACTCAAGCACACGGCTGGTATTTGTACCAGCACAACCACTGTAATCCTCAGGGAGAAACTTCCTGTCGTCTGTCCCTTCCTGTGGAGCCCCATAATTTTAACTTTCATACTACACCTAAAATTATTAATATCTTCGCAGGAGAAGCCTGTGCTCTGCATCACTTTCCCAAGCCTTTTACATGCCTTTAATCTTGACAGCAGCCTTCTCGGGTAAAGATTCTATGACATCCTACACGTGAGAAAGCTGAGGCTGGGAAAGGTCAGGGTTCCACAGAACAAGGTATCATCTGAGCTCATTTCCAGCGTGAGCCAATCCAGCCTCCATGCTCTTGCCCCTATGCCAAACCAAAATCCTCCTCACAGTCTTTGGAGAGCCCAGCCTCAGAGGTCACAATTTGGTAAGGCCTTCCCCATTATAATCCCCTATCTGCCATGTGTGCCAGGATAGCTACCACAGCCTGCCCCTGGGTGGATGCTCTCATTCTCTCTCTCTCTCTCTCTCTCTCTGTCTCTCTCTCTCTCTCTCCCCCTCCCACCCTCTAAGACTCGCCCCACTTTGCTACAGTTGTTGAGCAAGTGTAAGTAGTATCGGCATGGAAATTAGAGTCAATCCAGCAAGAGCTTGGATTGAAATAGCACCCGTGGTAGAAAGATGCTTAAACAAAAATAATACCCTTGTGTACAACTCAGTCCTAGGGCAGGCATCAGGCCAGAATGAGGCCCAAAGATGTAGGTTCAACCTCCCACAGCGGCTCCAGAGAGGTGGCACACCTAGCCAGCCTGAGGGACCTCTAGCACGGACTCAGCACCACCCTAGGCCGAGCACTGTTCAGGGATTATTTCCTTTAATTCTCACAGCGCTTCTCTGAGGTAACTGATACGCTATCACTACAGACGAGAAAAACAGAAAGCTTGAGGGTTAAAGGTCCAAATCCAGTGAACAGCAATTAGGATTCGAACTCAAGTCCGCCTGACTCATCGAAGACCTCATCATCAATATGACTTTCAGTCTCCACCCTGAGGTTTCGGGAAAATGTCCCCATTAAGTTCTGGCTCAACACAGTGACAGGAGAAGGGGGAACAGAAACGATTTGTAGAGCTATACGTGCTTCTGACTACATCTTTACCTACGCTTGCTGGAATCAATTTCAGAATCAACGTGGAGAACGAAAACATGGGCCTGTCTCTTCGTGAGTATAGCCTGTCGAAGGCTCAGAGAACGGCAGCTCTTTTCAGTCATGGACTCGGGAGAGGCTCTCCCGTTGTCCACTTCGACAGAGCCTCTGCTGCTCGTTCCTCATCCTGCCCCAAATCCTGTCAATGAGTGAGTGGTCGATGCCTTTCTGACAGATTAACGGACAAACGCTTGAGGTTTAAGTAACTGCTACAGTGGCCAAATGTCTGGGTTATGCCCAGGATGGTGGGCAGAGACACGGTACCTTTGCTGTCACAAAACTCAACCAGCGCCGAACTCTCTTCGGGGAAGCACTCCACCCGGGCAACGCTTCCGCCACCATTGGAAGGGTTTTCAAAGAAGAGCTGCAGCTGGTAATCATCCACCCCAGGAGGGAGGTTTTCCACCCTCACTACATTTGTGGGTTCCAGAAGCCTTGGGGTGAGCTGGAGTCGTTGATTTGAGGGGTGGCTGATACAATCAATAATAAACTTTTTGGTGTCTACAAGACAAAAATAAAATGAGAACATTTCGATGACATCTCTAGACCGGATTGAAGAAATGGCTTGGCTACAAGCTGAGATGGGGGAACCAGCCAGTTGCTGTATTCTCTGCCACCGAGCTGTCCTGAGTGCTTTACTCACGATGCCATCCCTCTGCCCAGTTTCTCAAGGAGCCCGCACCCACAGCCAGGCTACCAACTCCAAACTCATAGCCAAGTAGCACTCTCAGTTTTCCCTCTCTCTCCCTCTCTCTCTTACACACACACACACACACACACACACACACACACACACACACACACGTCATGTTTTAAAACCCCCCTCTTTCGTCCTTGTGCCTACACTGGCCTGTGTCTGCAATGCCCTTCTCCGACATGTGAGAGGGAGGTGTTCTGGTTTTATTGTAACGCTGAGGATCAAATCCAACCACACTCCCATCACTATGTCTGCAGGCTCCTCTGCTCTCTCATTTGGTCCCATTTAGCTTTGGAGTATGGATGTCCTGTATAAGGTCTCTAATTTAAAGGCTAAATAAGAGGAGAGTTGCCAAGTGGATAAAAGAAGGAGGGAACGATGGCGGCATGAATGGGCTTGGTTCAGTTTGGACATGGTCAGAGGACACTGCCGGAGCACACGCTCAGAGCACAACAATGCGCGTCCTTGTCTCCACCCCTCACAGCTCACAGACAACTTCTCTTTCATCTTCATTATTCATTTACACGAATGCCTCCTTCCTGCTCCCAGACCGGGTTCCCGCAGAGAGGGAGCTATGACTTATTCATCCCTGTGCCTCGGCTCCTCAACCAGCACCTGGCCCGTAAGAGTGGCTATAGGTTGAATCTTAACAGCTCCCAGAGGCTCATGGGTTAAAGGCTTGGTCCTCAACATGATGCTATAGAGAAGTGGTAGGTCCCCTATCAAGAGAGGATGAAGGGGACAAGATGGTACTCTCTCTCTCTCTCTCTCTCCTGGTTATTGAGATAGACAGTCTTCTATGTGTTTTCACCATGCCTCACCAGAAGCCCCAAAACAATATGGCAAACTGATCAAGAACTGTAGCCAGCCAGGTGTGGTGGTGCACGCCTGTAACCCCAGAACTCAGGGAGGCAGAGGCAGGCAGATCTCTGTGAGTTAGAGACCAGCCTGGTCTACAGAGCAAGTTTCAGGACAGCCAGGATTACAAGATAGAGAAATCCTGTCTTGAAAAACAAAAACAAACAAACAAACAAAAAATACTGAAGCCACCAAAACTATGAGCCAAAATAACCCTTTCTTTTTATAGCTGGTCGCCTCAGGTATTTGTTACAGTAACAGAAAGCTAACACCGTATGTATTGAAGACTGTTGGCTCAATGAACAGAAGCAAAGTCGTTTAAATTCAAATGTCCCTTCCAGGGGTTGGAGAGATGGTTCAGAGATTGACAGCATTCAGTGCCTTTGCAGAGGACTCTAATTCAGTTTCCATCGTCCACCTGGAAGCTCACGACCACCTGTAACTCCAGTTGCAGGAGACCTAATGTCCTCTACTGGCTTCTGCCGACACTGCATGCATGTGGTACAAACAGACGTGCAGGCAAAGCATTCCCTTTATAAAAAAAAAATTAGTAAACTTGAAAGAACAACAGTGCCCTTTATCAAATCCTTCCCATGCCTCAGGTATTACGTGAAGTGTCAGCTCATTAAATCCTCAAAGGAATTTATTTAAGTACAATCACCCCCGTTTTATGGATGAGTGGACAAGGAACAGATGCATACAACCACTTAAGTGCCCGGGCTAGAGTTCTGACCACACCACCTGTGAGCTTGATTAACACCCCACGACCATGACCGTAGGACTCGAGAGCTCAGATTTGTAATTTTCCCGGTTTGAGGTGAAGATGGTTCTTGCTTGTGACCATGACCTAACAGAACACTCGTCTTCTTTCTCATGTTTGTGTGTATGTGTGTGTGTGCATTTGGAGGCTAGATAGAGGACAACTTGTAAGAAGCCCAGGGATCAAACTCGGGCTGTCAGGCTCGGCAGCAAGTGCCCTTGCCTGTTCTGCGATCTTGCTGGCCGGGGCACTCATTGTCCCCAGGAAGTGGGCTCCCTCATCTCTGCATGCGTGACCGTGAAAGGGTTATACCAAAGAGAAGTGTGGTAATGTGGCAGGAGGAAGGGGAGAAGAGGTCAGCTGGCCAGGGTCAAATCCAGTTCCGGTCTCTCAGCACCACTGTGCCCTGTGTCACAGGGTCCTTGAAAGGAAGGAGTAAATTAGCACATGCAGATATGAGCAGGTGCCTGACTTGGAGCAAGCACTGAAGGGTAAGTTTGATGGCATCATTGCCTTCCAGTAAGTGCAGCACGGTAACAGGTCTGTCTTTACTCCTCCCAGGGATGTAAAAGTCCAAGCTCATTCACTCGGTATCACCTTACGATTCTCATTTCTCCCCACCCCTACCCCACCCACTCCAGCAAACACACAATAGAAAGTGGTCTGTTGAACACACTCAAACTTGCTCTGAAAATGAGTTTGTTTCTCTTTCAAAACATGGAGGGTAGAGGCATCGGTATTGACTTAGAGAGATCTGTCTAACTCACTATGACAAAGGGTCATACTTTCAGAGACCGGCTCAGATCCTGGGGTGTGGCACACAGAGGCCTGGGAACACAGTGCCCCCTGGCACTCACCTATAGGCTTCTGAAAGGTAACCACAGCAAGGTTGAAGTCCCGGATCATTTCCATCTTAAAGTCATCACTGGGGAGGCCACTCAGGTTCTCCACTAGGATGGTCAGTACTATGTCGGCTACTCTCTCTGGCAGGTTTTCAAATACCACCATAGAGGAAGCATGTTCACATTCTTTTGGGACGTTTTCCGTTTTCTCAGATCCATCGCTAGGAGAACGTGTTGTGTCCAAGTCATCTGATAAATTATGAAAGGTATAAAATATTAAATCATGGTTCTATTAAAACAAGTTATCCTAAGACAACTCCCCCCTGCAACTCCCCGACTCCAATTTTACCATCTCTTGGCTAACTCATCTAAAAGGAAATCTCAAGATAATGAAGCTTTTGCTTTAGTGAGTTAAAAACTAAAATGCAGAGCTGGGTGGTGGTGGCACACGCTTTTAATGCCAGCACTTTGGAGTCAGAGGCAGGCAGATCTCTGTGAATTCAAGGCCAGCCTGGTCCACTGAGTGAGTTCCAGGACAGCCACGGCTACGTAGAAAGAAACTCTTTGTCTTGAAAAACCTAAACCTTAGCACTGTCTTGTTGTTATCATCAATCTGATCTTATTCCTTTTTTTTTTTTTTCTGCTTTGTCTATCTGACAATATACATGGTCCCTCCTGTGCCTCTCAAGTACTAGACTGTCATCACGGAACTGGGTCTCTAAAAGCAGGGTGTGCCTTTCCTCATCTTTGCATTGCTGGCAAGCGCCATACAGCTGGAGCTTGCCAGATGTTTGCTGGATTAGAGCAGCACTGTCTGGCTCCCTCTAGGAGAGCGAGGATCTCAGAGGGTGTGCACACAGTCATGCTAAACAAAAGAATACTGTAAAGATTACCACTATAACATTATGAATGAGGAATTGACCCACAGGGTAAGACAGCTTGTTGTGTAAGTATGAGGTCCAGAGCCTGAATCTCCAGAACCCTGTAAGAGCTGGGCATGGCTATGTGTGCCCAGTGTAGAGGGTGGAGATGGGCAGATCCCAAGAGCAGCCTGGTCAGCAGGCCTAGGCAAAGGGGCAAACTTTAGGTTCAGAGAGAGACCCAGTCTCCGAGCCAGAAGGCAGAGTGCGATGGAGGGAAAGAAAGAATTCCTTTCCCTAAGCCTTGGGTGTCTGCATCTCTTCTTTACTCTTGCTTATCTTACCCGGCACGGTTCTTTGTTTGTTAGACTTTATAAGGGTATTAGTCATGCCTTCATTAAAGTCTGGGACTTTAACGTGATAAATCAGGAGACCCCACCCCAAGTCCCTGTGCTGGCTGTTCCCTGCAGCTGATGAGGAAGAGCTGGGCAGCTGGGTTCCACCATCGACACACCCAGTGTTCACAGAGCACTAATACTGAGAGAGCCACACAGCGTCCACCACACTTGCTATCCTTGCTGTTCGTTGCCACCCAGGCACAAGCGTTCATCACCACCTCCCAGCTCTTCCCCTCTCATCTGCAAACTCCTCCCGGCACCAGAAAGAGCCGGTCCTATTCTTCTGCTGGGAGCCCTAACTGCGGCAGGAGCTCCCTCAGGGACCGCTTCATACTCATCTGCTAAGACAAGGTGATGCAACTCAAGGCAGCTCCAAGCTGAGACGATCCTGCTATGTCTGAATCTTGAGGGGAAAAAAATCTCCCAGGCAACTTGTTTAATAAACGCAAAACTGCCTGGTGAACACGAGGGCCACCTCAGCTGAGACTTTACCTGATTTCACAGCATCTTCTTCTGTCTTGGATTCCTAGAACCCAAACAGTAAGAAAGCATTAATAAGTGAATCATTTCCTTATAAAAATAAGACACCTCTCGGGCCAGACTGGAGATGTAAGCTAAACTGAAATGATAACAACACGCTTGGGTAATGAGTAGGTGAATGGATTGGAGGCCACATGTCCCAGCGCTGTCTTCTTGCTGCTCACAGCAACCAGTGATGAAATGAGACGCACGCAAGAGTCCCCAGCTCATGCCAAATGTAAGCCAGCTTAGCCCACGCTTTCTCTACCCACACTTGACACTTCTTTCAGGTTTACTGTGTGTGCACAGAGCACACGCTTCGCAGACGTCCCTGGAGATCTTCTTCAGCACTGAGGAAATAGCACCCAGTGTGGGCCGCTGGCCTCTCCAGATGATGGAAAACAAGACAAACAGATGCAAATTTTGATGCCCCCAAATTTATTACTATTGCATCCCCCAAACTTTGATTCTTCTAAAAGTATCAAAAAGTTACTGCTTCACCAGGTGGTAGTGGCACAGACCTATAATCCCAGCACTCAGGGAGGCAGAGGCAGGCGGATCTTTGTGAATTTGAGGCCAGCCTGGTCTACAAAGAGAGTCCAGGTCAGTCAAGGCTACACAGAGAAACCCTGTCTCAGAAAAAAAAAACAAAAACAAAAATAAAAACAGTACATGCTTTTTTTCATTATTTATATAGCCTTTCTCCTTCCACAGTTTCAAGCTGTTGTTTTCACACTACTATAACTTAGGCCCTTATTCTTTACTTTTCGTTTGTTTGTTTTTTGAGACAGGGTGTTTCTGTGTAGCCCTGGCTGTCCTGGGCTTTATTTGTAAACTAGGCTGGCCTTGGGCTCACAGAGATCCGCCTGCCTCTGCCTCCCAACTACAGGGACTACAGGCATGCGCCACCACGCCTGGCTTCCTTTTTCTTTTCTTTTTGAGATAATCTCACTTTGTAGCCTAGGCCAGCCTGGACTTACTGCATAGACCAGGCTAGTCTTGAATTCTGCTTACCTCTACATTCTCTAGTGCTACAATTAGAGGCAGGAGCCACCTCACCCAGCAAATCTTTACCATATTTTCATCATGGAGATTCCCACCACACACCTTGGGCTAACAGCCCCTCCTCGGGTTTCTTTACCTCTCCTGGAATTGCCTCCTTAGAGACTGAGGCTTCCCCTGGATCCGCGGGCAACCACACAGTTAACTTGAACGTTCCTTTTCCTTGTAACACTAATTCGTGATTCTTTTTCGCCAGAACATTCTGCCGGACTGAAACGAGAAAAAAAAAATTTAAGCCAAATTGGAAGCAATCTTTACTTACATATTTAGTCCACAATTTCTAGAGTCTTCACCCTGATTAGTCAGCAGCTGAGCTGGTTTCTCTAAGGAAACTCTGTAGGAGAGGGGGTTTGTTTTGAATTTCACCTTTAAATTTCCTTTGTGTGCATTATACATATGGTGCCCATGGCCTGGGCAGCCCTGTTCATGGGAAGGCCACATCAGGACCCTGGGCTTTGCCCTGCATCACCCTTTGCCTTCTAGAAACTGGGTCTCTCACTGAGCCTGAAGCTTGCCCTTTTGGCTAGGCTTGCTGGCCAAGGAGCTCCTGGGATCTGCCATCTCTGCTCTCTGCACTGGGCACATGTAGCCATGCCCAGCTGTTCCAGGGTGCCAGAGATTCAGACTCTAGACTCATACCTACACAACAAACCGTCTACCCAGTGAGCCATTCCCCTGCCCCTAATCTGACTGGGGTGTAGTTGTTCTGTGGTTTTTGACACCGGGTCTTTCTGTGTAACCCTGCCTACTTTAGAACCTGCTCTTTAAGTTCCCAGGCTGGACTCATAGATTTGCCTCTGTCTCCTAAGTGCTGGGGTCAAAGCATGTACCATCATGACCAGCTTAGTTTTTTGTTGTTGTTGTTTTGTTTTTTGAGACAGCGTTCCCCTGAGCTCTGGCTGTCTTAGACTTGCTTCGTAGACCAGGCTGGCCTCAAACTCACAGAGATCCACCTACCTCTGCCTCCTGAGTGTTGGGATTGAAGGTGTGTGCCACCACACCTGTCCTAAGATTTTTTGGGGGGGGGACAGAGGGGGCTGGACCTAATATCCACTGCTTTAGCTTAGCAATGGATTGTTCCCCAAGGGCCTTGAGATCACAAACACAGTTGCCCAGCTCATAGTGCTAACAGTCCTGGAAGCTTTAAGAGGCAGGGCCAGAGGAAGGAAGTCAGGCCACTGGGAGATGATTCTGTGGGAGGCCGAACTTGGTGTCCCTGGGACCCCTGCCCTTTCCTCCTTTCTTTATCACTTCAGCGGCCCAAAAGCAGCAGGCTGAGTGACTGTAGACTAAAAACTCACCAAAAATTGTTGAGCCCCAGATCAACAGTTCTTCCTCTATTCAAGTTGATTATCTCAGATACGTTATCATAGTAACCGAACTCTGGTGACCAATTTTAGCACCGTGCTAAACAAACAGATCTTACCCAGGAAGCCTCAGTCTTCTCATGGACTAACGAGGTAAATGGGGACTGTTTCCATCTGCTGCTAAGTGTATAACATTCGAGAGATACAGAGTTCGGGAGTGTAGTACCTGTGCTCTACTCAGGAGGCACCAAAGGTAGGAATATTTATAATTACAGGGGTGACTGGGTATACAGGATGATGAAAGCCATGTTTTAAGAAGGTGACCCAATCGGCTGTTATCAGAATGACCAAGAGTCCAGCCGTTTCAAGTGACACCTTAGCCTGCAATGATTAACAACCCATATTTGGTAGTAAAGGGAGCAGGAAAAAAATGGAATAGAGGAGGTTTTGCAAAAAAACAAAAAAACAAAACAAAACAAAACAAAAAAAACCAGAATGACAGCCCTGAGCAGCTGAACTACAGTGAAAACTGAACAGAATCCAAAGCCTTGCCATTTGATTTCAAACTCTGTCACAAACTAGCTGGGTGGCTGTAAAGAAAGAAAAGAGCTATGAACCGCAAGCATCAGAAGCAGCCATAGAGAGAGAAGCGAAAGATCAAGTGTAGTTCAAACAGTGGAGAACCGGAAAGGAACATGAGGGACAACCGGAAAGCAACAGGAGGGTCGTGGCCAGCACAGGAGCCGCTGCAAACTGTCCCAGAGAGTCCTGCAGTTCACAGAGGCAATCAAACGCTAGGTTCCTCTTGCACTCTGACGGGCTGGTCTGACGAGCCCAGAGCGTATCACATGGGAACTTGGAGAGGGGGCTCAGTGGTTAAGAGCACTCATGTGCTCTTCCGAAGGTCCTGAGTTCAATTCCCAGGACCCACATGGCACACAACTGTCTGACGCTGTCTCCTGAGCTCATCAGGAGGCAGAAGCAGGCAGATGTATGTGGAGACAAATGTACCCATGTACACTAAATAAACAAACAAACCAACAAACCAACCTTTACAAAAAAGGGACGACCGCTAGCTCTCCAACCTCTGCCTTGAAGAGGGCAGGCCAAAGGGGACTCGCGCCCTCTTCTGGCCTCTTCAAGCACTGTATGCACGTCTACAGACAGGTGCAGGCAAAAACCCATACACATACAATCAAAATAAATATTTTTGAGACAGTGTTTCTCTGTGCAGCCCCGGCTGTCCTGAAACTCACTCTGTAGACCAGACTGGACTCGAACTCAGAGATCTGCCTGCTTCTGCCTCTTGAGTGCTGGGAGTAAAGGTGTGAGTTATCACCATCGGGAATAAATCTTCTTTCTTTCTTTTTCTTTCTTTTTTTTTTTTTTAAAGAAGATGAATTCCCTTACTTCAAGGCTACCTAGGCCTTTACACAATAAACAGGAGGCAAATTAGCACTGGAAAGTATGATAAAGGGTGCCCATATGCAATGGAGTTTACGGTGTTTTGCGTTAAGGTCTGAAAACGTAGCTCATTCATAGAGTATCTGCCTGGTAGGCTCAAAGTTCTAATGAAAAAAAAATCGGCTTAATAGTTCTCTCCTGCTATTGTAGATGCCTATGAATAGTCAGGCCTTCTCGGGCTACTTCAGGGACAGAGGGCGATGTCCTCTACAGGAAAGAAACGGCTGCTGCCCTGGGACGGCAAGGCCAGTAAGTCTCCTGTAAATTATGTTGCAGGGAATTTCCTGATGACTTGCTGCTGAGGAAATGCTGTGTAGATAGGAAACCGAAAGTGAAAAGAGATTCCAGTCACCCTAATGACTGCCCCTCAACACTGTTACATTGTAACAGATTTGGAGTCAGCTGTGTTGGGAGTGAAACCAGGGGCATCCCCTGAGCTAGGAAGGAGAGGGGGTGTAGGGGCTGGGAGCCCTGTAGGGGAAAGCTGAGCAGAGACATCTGCTTTTGGTGACTTCATTGTGCGCACAGCCCACAGCCTTTCAGGACTGAGTCCCCTCGCCAGCCCTGGGGTCTTCAGCGAAGGCTAGAATTGGAGTCGTATTATCACAGCAATTATTTTTCCATGCCGTGTCATATGCTACTACCATCTTAGATATTCTCTCCATTTTGTTGGTTTGAGGTTCCCAATAAACAACAGAGATTTTTTTTTTTTAAGTTCAGCATGTCCCGGTCACTGTGGAGGGCTGGTGGCACATGCCCCCCCCCCCCCCCCTTCCCCACACCCTCATGTCCGGGAGTGTCTATAATAGAGCCTGAGCTGTATCTAGTTAGCCTATGACCGGGACGCCAGGAGTTTGTACCCCTAACAAACGACCAGCGTTTGAAGTTAGTGGCATTCTAGAGAGGAATGCTCTCCATCCAGGTCATGTCTCCTTGGATGCTGGCTGGCTGGAACCAAACCCTCTAACAGCGGTTCTTAACCTGTGGGTCTCGACCACTTGGGAATCTAATGACCGGTTCACGGGGTCATTAGAAAACGCAGATTTTTACGTTACAACTCATCATGTAAGCCAAATTACTTATACAGCAACAACGAAAATAATTTTATGGTTGGGGGGTCACCACAACAGGAGGAACTGCGTTAAAGGGCCGCAGCACTAGGAAAGTTGAGGACCTCGGCTCTCCGAAAAGTGAAAATGAGAAAAATAGCTTCTGCATAGATTCTGCCCCCATCGAGCACTCCCCTGTGGAACAGGACGATGAGGTCGTGCTCTCCGGAAGGGGTCAGAGCCACACAGTCTCTTGTGCCCAGGCTTCCTGAAAACCTGTTCTACTCCTTTCTCTTTCTTTTATTTTTTTTTTCTTCCTTCTTGGATTCCCACTGCCTCTCTCTCCCCTGGCCTAAATGTTTCCTCCAAATCCAGAAGGAGGGATTGCCTGCATTCTGAGGATGACCCTGGTCTACAGAATCTCAGCTGGAACCAAGCGGAGGCTTTGCGGAAGCCGCAGGCCTGGGGCTTCCACTCTCCCACCTGAGCAAGCAAGCGAGGCTGGGCCAGCCTTGACGAATGCAGAATGCAGACAGAGGTGGGGGACATTCAGCTGCTTAGCTTCCCGCAATGATGGAACCCCACCACCCACCACCCCAAACCCGGCTCGAAGCCTACAGCCACCTCCGGCCACCTTGGAGCTGAAGGACAAGGGAGGACAAGACCCCCGGCTGTGGCACCAGAGCTTTTCCCTTCTCAAGCTCACCTCCCAAAGAACCCTGCGGTGCTAGCTGCCCGGGACTCCTCCAGTTTCTTCAATCTTTTCCTGCTCCACTTGAATAATAAAAGCAGAACGATTTAAAAAAAAAAAAAAAAAAAAAAGGGGGGGGGGGGGAGAGAGAAAAAAAGAGAGAGAGAAAGAAAGAAAGAAAGAAAGAAAGAAAGAAAGAAAGAAAGAAAGAAAGAAAGAAAGAAAGAAAGAAAGAAAGAAAGAAGAGAGGAGAGGAGAAGAGAAAAGAGGAAAAGGCACGGGAAGGGTCACAGACAGCGCCAGGAAACGACCTTCCCACTCGGGGATGCGCTCGCCACCAAGATTCTGCCTCCACGACCCCCCTCTCCGATCGGGCCGCTGCCCAGTGCGGGGCCTGCCACGCGCGTCCCCGAACCCCGCGCGCGGAGGGGACCCTCCCCGGCCTGCGCGTCCCTCACCATCCTCCGGGGAGAAGAGCACCAGGAAGCGGGCTGGGTTCCCGGGCTCCGGGACGACCTCGCACTCCCCTCCGCCCGATTTCTTCCGGCTCTGAAAGTACATCTGCAGCTTGTTGGTCAAGTGCTTCGGGGGATCGGATCCCCAGGACCCCTCGACCAGCAGCGGGAAGGGGCCAGACGCCGCCATCCTGGCTGGACTAGGAAGCGACTGCCGGGTCGCCCAAAGCTGCTCGGTGTTATTCAACTTTCTTTCGCTTTCATTTCCTGGAAATCCCTCCCCGCCCTTAGTTTCTGTCTTCACCCAGCCGTCCAGGGATTGGAATAGTGCAACCCCCCCCCTCCGGGGCCGGGGCACACCTAGTCCCCCACTTTGTTCTCTTGCCCTCGACACCACCCAGAGAACCGTCCCACCGAGACTCTGGCCTCCAGTCCTCCTGCATAGCGGTTCCCTGGCTCCCTGGCTGGGCGCTTCACCGGGGCCGCAGCTGAGCTTTGCTCCATCACTAGGCTAGCTTTAACCCAAACCCCACACCCTACGAGGGAAGAAAAGGGCTCGCAAAATGATCCTCGCGAGGATGCTCCTTGCTCGCTTGAGGACCACCCAGCAGAATTTAACCTGCCCTTCCGGCTTCTGAGCTCTTGTTTTCTCCTCTGTGAACGCTTTCGTTCACAGACTCAGGGTTCGGGGTACCTTGCGCTAGGCCCCGTGCTCTCTGAGTGTTCAAAGGAAGGGACCCAAGAGACAGTAGATAGCGCTAGGTAGAAATACACAGGGGCTGCGGGAGGAGAGAGCAGAGGTTCCTAGCCAACTGTGGGGAGGTGGGGAAGAGCTAATGGGCATATGACGTGGCACCTGAAGCCTAAGGATCGAGAGATGACCTAGGCCTGGGGGACTCTGGGTGGTGGTTCCCTAGCCCAAAAGCACTCAGGCTGCCGCGTGATGGCTGGAGTGGACGCAGGGGAGAGGAGGTAAGCTGACCTGGGTGCTACAGGGGGATGGAGAAAGGGTGGGCTCGGGGCTGCCACTGGAGGCAAGACTCCAGTTCGCCCTGGAGCTGTCCAGGCAGGAGCCTGAATAGTAGTGTAAGAGTCAGGTGGGCAGACCGTGACAGGAGTGAGACCAGCCTGGGAATGTGGGTATCCTCAACACGTGACACAGGGAGGCTTTGCCATTCCGGGGCTAGGGTATGGTGGGCCTCTGGGGCCCCTTGGTAGCCCCATCTGATGGAGAACAGGGAGGGATGGAGGGTGTCTGAAAAAAGGAAGGGCGGAGGAGGCAGCAAAAATATCCTGATCTTTCCACAAGGTTGACTGGACTGGAAGACGTTGGGAGAAGGGGGTCAGGGCTCAGAAAGCTTTCATTTTTGTTTCTTGGATTTAAACATTTTGAAGATAGAAAGGTCCTAGGTGTGTGCGAATGTCGGTACAAAGAAGGGATGGGGAAGATACTGGTAGCATCAGCCACGATGTCCCAGGCGCCAGCAGTAAAGCATTGTGAATGGAGATTGGGGTTGGAGGTAGAGTGGGTAAAGATCCAGGCTTTTTTGTTGTTGTTGCTGGGTTTTTTTGTTTTTGTTTTTTGGTCTGGTTTGGTTTTTCCAGACAGCGTTTGTCTGTGTTGTAGCCTTGGCTCTCCTGGACTCACTTTGTCGCTTTGGAGACCGGGCTGGCCTCGAACTCACAGAGATCTCCCTGCCTCTGCCTCCCTGAGTGCTGGGATCACAGGTGTGCGCCACGGCGCCCGGCTACATCTAGGCGTTTTCCAGATGGGTCCCACTTCTCTGTGGATTGCAGTCCGACGGATGGCACAACCCAGTGATAGTAGGCTTGTGAAGATTTTCCTGACACCGGAAGGCTTCTTCTGGAGGTACAGTGACCAAAAACCAAGTCGAAATTAACAGCCTAACACCTCGTTGCTTCTGAGCGCATACCAGAGCACACTCTCTGAAACAGGGCAGCTCCGATGCCAGACTGCGATACAGTACGGATTGCAGCTTTTACTGTCTACAAAGTTTCCCTTCTTAGAGAAACAGAATGTCTCAGTAATAGTAAAGGGACTTTTAGCATGTCCCTGCCGTCATTCTTCAGCATGTAATTACCAAAGTTAGTGTACCTTTGGACTGTATCACCTTAAAATGCTTACTTTTAAAAATTGCTATTTCAGGAGCCGGAGAGATGGCTCAGCAGTTAATAGAATTGGCTGCTCTTCCAGCAGACCCCGGTTCGATTCCCAGCACCTGCAAGGCAGCTCACAACCACAACCTGTAACCCCAATTCCAGGGAATTCAATACACTCTTCTGGCTTCTGAGGGCACTACACACATGGTACACACTCACACATGCAAGCAAAATGCCCACACACATAAAATAAATAAAACTGAATTTCTTTCAATGAATTTTGGGGTTAAGACAGAAGTTCCATTCCAATTTCAGAAATGGTTCTAAGCAAGCTTCAGTCATTTTATATTATGTATTTAAGGCAGAGTAGGGTTCTCTGCATTGACAACTGTAAAATAAAAAATATTCCTTTACGATGGGAAATACTCAGCCATGATGCAGTTCTCTGTGTGAAAATAAACATTTTGTTGTGATATGCAAATTTGCTTCCATTTATAGTAAACAGCAGAAGCATGCGTGAACTCAAGAATCGTCTTAAAATGATTTTATGATTCATCATCAGTGAGTACTTGGTTTGCAGGCATATTTTGGATACTGTATACCTGAGGTTGCATTGAAGTTTGTCAGATGTGAATGGAAGAAAGGTAAGAGGTCCTAGCTCAGGGTCTGTCAGGTTCAGAGATTCCTTGGAGATAGACAGACCTTGAATATTGTTACTTAATCCCAAAGAACTGAATCAATATAAAGAGCCTCAGAGACGCACGGGAGGAATTTACCGTTGTGTTGTTTTGTTTAAATTCCTGATATTTAGGAAGGATCTTTCTCCAGTTTCCAGCATTCTGCCTGCAGGTGGCGCTCAGCATCCGAGCCAACCATCGACGGACCCAGCGTAGCGGACACCGCTGAGTAGGCTAGAGTGCTGACTCTTCCTGGACTTGGCCTCTGTCTCACCCAAACCACAGAGAAAATCGGCGACCCCGTTTCCCAGAATTTAGAGCTCCAGAGCAGGGCAAATGGTTTCACTTTTTCCTCACACCATCAACTTACAAGAAATGAAGCCGGCCGGGCGTGGTGGCGTATGCCTTTAATCCCAGCACTCGAGGCAGAGGCAGGTGGATTTCAAAGAGTTCGAGGCCAGCCTGGTCTACAAAGAGAATCTAGGACAGCCAGGGCTACACAGAAAAAGCCTGTCTCGAAAAAAACAAAAACAAAGCACCACAGATGGGAATTAAAAGCAGTATCCTCAGAAAGGTACCGACTTGATCATTCCTGTTTCTTGCAGAATAAGGAAAAAGTAAAGACCTCTCCTGGCCTTTCAGCAAAATAATCAGAGAATCAGATCCACATGGGAACCTCTCAAGACTCGAAGTAACACAGCACAATCCTGTTTACACACCCTATATGCCCAACCTAATCCAGTGACACACTGTTAAAATGAACCACAGGGGCCAAAGAGGGACAGTTTGCCTCTGTGTGTTTATTGTAAGTTTCAATGATACAATGGCAAAACACAAAGCGCTATTCCACAAAAAAAAAAAAAAAAAAAAAAAAAAAAAATCAATCAAAGAGTTGGTTCTTTGAAAATACTAACAAGACTGACAACCAAATTAACTGGAAGAGACAGACGAGCCAAATTAATAAACTTAGAGGTGAAAGGGGAGTTTTGACAACAGACTCCAGGGACACTTAGAAGATCCTTAGGGGATGCTTTGACAACTTGCACTCCAAAAAGGCCGGGAACCATGGAAGAAACAGATACAGTTCTCCATGAACATAACCTACCAAAATTAGACCCAGGAGGTATAAACAACCTAAACAGATTCACAGCAACGAGACTGAAGTGATGATTAAAAGTCTGCTCGCGGGCCTGTCGAGATGGCTCAGTCGTTAGAGAGCTCAGGGCCCTCGGAGAGGAGCTGAGTTCTCAGCACCCGGGTTGGCTGGCTGTCCCTGCAGCTCCAGGGGAATCTGTCGCCTCCTCGATGCCACAGCCACCTGCATGTTCGCAACCACAAATATATACGAGGCTTCTCCCTGCGGCTGTAGACAGCTTGAACTCGGGTGAACATAAGTACAAAACGCTCAGTGAGATATTTACAGATTTGCCGGTAGCACATGCTTTTTATACCAGCACTCAGGGAGACTGAGGCAGGTGGATCTTTGTGAGTTCTGGGCCAGGCTGGTCTACATAGCGAGTTCTAGGACAGCCAGAGATACATAGTGAGAGCCTGCCTAAAAAATATTAAATTAAACAATTTTAAATCAATGCAGAGGTTTCTCAAAAGATTGAAATTAGAGCTATTATCTGATATATATATAGGGGGGGGGGGAAGAAAAAGAAAGTTATTTATTATGAATACCTACTAAGACAAAACGAAAGTAATTACAAGCAATCTAAGCAATCTGCTGAACAGATTGCAAAGACAGAATGAAATCTCACCTTTTAAGGCTATCAGCCAAAAAAAAAAAAAAAAAAAAAAAAACGGCCGCACACTTTACAAGATAAACGAGAACAGTCCTCAAGTAAAAAGATTTGAAAACACTGTTTGATACCACACATTTCATCCCATAGCCACTTGGTAATTGGGGTGACCATCTAAATTGCCTTTAATCCAAAGGAATAATCCATTTTTCTCATCTCTGGAGTCAGACATGAGCCAACATCAGGCTTTTTCCCTCGCAGCTAATTTGGAAGATAAGAGTACAGCCTTCATTGATGACTGCATTTCAAAGTGATGGCTCCCAGCTTTTTGTGAAAACATTCCCAGGGGGTGGAACTGACCAGAGATTTTAAATGAGCCTTACAAAAAGTTATTAGACATCTCAAAAGGATATGCAGGAGAATAACCATTGACAGGTGTTTACAAATGAAAATGAAGAAAATCTCACCCTTCTTTTGCATCTTAGGGTATCAATTTTTTTTTCTTTTTACTTATTGCATGCAGCCAAAGAATACACAGGAGTGACTGGGAACATGGCACTGTTACAGATTCAGAACTTGAATTTCATTGAAAAATTTTAAATTTTAGCCAGGTGGTTGTGGCACTTAGGAGGTAGAGGCAGTCAGATCTCTGAGTTCAAGGCCATCCTGGTCTACAGGGAGAGTTCCAGGACAGTCTAGGCTACACAGAGAAACCCCATCTTGGAAAAAGCACCAAATCATATTTATTAGT